CCGTCTGTTTCCTATCAGAAGCTAATGCTGGAGATCGGTGTAGGAGACTTTTTTCGTGTTCAGCGTGCATAAAAAACTCAGAGTGACTGATTACAATCAGAAGTAAGATTTAAATATATTTTTTAGTTGATTCACACGTTTAAAATTATTCAAACAAACATATTTAATGATTTGCATCAGTTTTCAGCTCAAAATGTTTATTAGTTTTTTTGCTCTTTCCTGCTCTGTCAATTAACAAAAGTTGTTCAAATGCTAAAAAAAACCCCTGATATTTTCATCAAAATTGCGTTAATTTGCTGACATGTAATAATAACCAAAGTACAAATCTAAACCCTGGGATGTGTTTGAACACATCAGCCCTACTCTCCTCCGTAGAGATGAGTGTTTATGTTTGTCATAAAATGCAACTAGAAACTAGTTTGGGAATTGTTATGGTTTTCTCGTCTTTATCTTACTCCAGGGTGGACGGCGTCGGCCGGTGTTTGATTTCCTAGTCATCTCAGGAGATTCTCTGTTGCAGGTTATGAAACATCTTAAATCAAGTAAAGCATTAACCACAAAATGTGATGTGATGAGTTGAAATCGGTGAAAGGAGCGTGCCGTTTTCAACATCCTGGAGTTCATTTTAATATCTGCTCAAAGAATGATGAAATGTTCCATATGATGCAGCGATTCATGGTGCAAATTTATCCTCTGAATGTTTATAAGAAATTATAAATTCAAGTATGTTCTTTTGTGGTATAGTAACTCTGATTGAGACACTGACAGACTCAATTTGATGAAGACTGAATTATGTAAAGGAGACAAGGGCAGAAGGGATTGTCCTTAGCCAGTCAGAGCACAGGGAGACCACCATCTGTCCCCAGAAATAATGTTCTAACACACACAAATGTCTGGAGAAACATCTGCTTTCCCCTCAAAAATTATTCATCTTTTTATTCCATTCATGATAAAGAGATTAAGTACAGATAGTTTTGCAAAGATAGAGAAAACTTTCACAGGAAAGAATTATTGTATTGGCTAATGTTAGTCACTTTCTAACTTACCAGTATCGGTCTGATAAATAAAATCAGGCTGAATATATGACAAGGTGTAATTCTAATGCAACAGAGATCATCTCAGAAGTGTAAATGTTGTTTATGTATATATATATATATATATATATATATATATATATATATATATATATATATATATATATATATATATATATTATATATACACACATACATATCGGCTGGTGCCTATCTCCAGCGGTCAACGGGCAATCAGGTGGGGTACACCCTGCACAAAGAGCCAGTCCATCGCAGGGCAACACAGAGACACACAGGACAAACAATCATGCACGCACACACACACACACACCTAAGGACAGTTTAGACAGACCAATCAACCTAACAGTCATGTATTTGGACTGTGGGAGAAAGCAGGAGTACCTGGAGAGAACCCATGCATGCACATGGAGAACATGCAAACTCCATGCAGAAAGATACCAGGCCGGGAAGCGAACCCAGGACCTTCTTGCTGCAAGGCAACAGCTTTAACCACTGCGCCACTGTGCAGCATATATATATATATATATATATATATATATATATATATATATATATATATATATATATATATATATATATATATATATATATATATATATATATATATATATATATACACACACACACACACACACATACACCATACACACACTAGGGAAGATGGCCTCCATATATATACACTGGCGAAGATGACCACCATCTTAGAAAACCCTCCCATCCACTGCATTCCACTGTGGAGACCGTGGACCACTCCTTCCGAGGCAGACTGAGACATGCCAGATGTAAAACAGAACGCTACCGTAGTTCATCCATCCTCTCTGCAGTAAGAGTGTATAACTCCTCAGTTTAAGCTGTGCGGGCGTTATCCTGTTACACAAAAACACCAACGCAATATTAAGTATGTGATCAATGCTCGTTCAATACTAGATTTACATACCATGTCCGTGTCTCTTGCGGTATGCTGCATAGTGTTGGAACCCAAGTTGTTCTTTTTTTATTCGTGATTTTTAGCGGTCAAAGGTTACAATACTAGAGTACTGTCTATGTGTATATACATGTACCTTTATTATGATTTATCTTCAAATTATTCTCTTAAGTGGTGTGCTGCTGTAGCAAGCGAATTTCTGTGCTGTGGGATCAATAAGGTGTATTCTATTCTATATATTTTTATATATAAATATACACGAGCCTAACCTATTTGCAATTTTTGGACTGAACTGAATTGAAAAACTCAGGTCAGATGCTTTTGAAACACATCCAGTGTCATCACAAGATCTTGAAGATGGTAAAAACTGCTGCCACCTAGCAGCTGGAGTTTGAATTGCACTGGACAAAAGAAATAAAGTAAATGTCTGCATGACAATCCTCAATAAAATATCTATACGCTGCTTTTATGTATCGACTCAGTGTCTGAACATGAAATATTGCAATATTTTAGTGTGTCATTTTTTTCTTACATCCCTACTTATATTAATGAAAGATCGGTAAATATCGGTTATCGGATATAATAGTGATATTAATATTGGATATAAATATCAGCCTACATTTTCACATCAATGTATCCCCAGAAATAATATTTGTATAAAACTAAATGGTTTAGTTGTTCTGTTTCATGCAACATAATGTGAAATGTTGAAACAGTCAGAAACATGACTACATTTGTGAAACTTTTTTTTAATTAAATTGTATTTCTAAATCTTAGCTAAAAATAATCTGAAGTTCATTTACATTTGTACAGATAAAACACAGAAACCACAGTCTCCCTTTTCCTGGGCCCAGAGACTGGACCCTGACAAGTCTTTCTGACACTTGTCAGTGCTGACAAGTTGTTCATTTCAGCATCGCCTTTTCTGCTTCGGGACTTTTGTATTTCAAGTAATTTAATGACACATTGGTGAAGATGAAAGCTGGCACAGTTAGACATATTTTTTTTCTAGAGCAGAGAAGAAAGTTTTCCTTTCACTAAAGATGATTTTTCTGTATAACGATGGTAAACCTGCCCTCCAGTCTCAGACAGTAAAGAAAAGAATTAAAAAGGTATTCAACACCAATCCAGGCTCAGATATTTCTACTTAAGGAGACTATACCGCTAAGCATTTCTCGCAGCTTTGATATTCCATTATTAGCTGTATGTGTGTAAGAATTAGGAATATTAAATGTTTATTTAGTGTGTTAATCCAAATGTTTTTCTCCCTTTTTGCCTTTCCAGAGCCTAGCAGCAGGGCATTCATTAACTTCTTCAGTAATTATCACTCTACCGTTGGCTTCAACACAGTAGATTCCCTTAAATCCCTCTCCATATTATGAGTGGATTTAAAAAGATGATCACAAACAAGTTTTGGCTGTTTAAACATAATGAGGTTGAAGTCAGACTTGTGCTGTTTTACAAGCGATGATGGAAAACATTTGCATGATCAACTGACAGAGATTATATCCTGGAAAACTCTGTCTTGTTTACTTATTTATTCATGTATTTTGGTGCAAATGGCTGAAAGTGGCTTTTATTTGCACCACCATCTTTATAACATTATCTAAAATAATAAATATTCATAATTTCATTCTGTATTTGGCGCTGAAGGTTTTTTTTGGTCAACACAATCAGCACTTTTTAAAGATGCTAATGCTGAAAATCTCTTTAAAATAATTTTCCATCTATATGCAGTATTTTTGTTTTGTGTTTTCAGTGAAACATGGGTGCTCAACGTGGGGATGGGTGTCTGCTTGAGGGCATTTCTAGTGTGGAAAAGCTCTGGATCAAACCAAAGACCTTTCTGTTGGTGCATAATCACAACTATCAGCTGCAGTACTTCAAGTTTACAGTTTTTTTCCCCCCAACGGTTTGGGCAAAACACACACTTATGCTACTAATGTTAAAATGTTTCTTTGCATTTTAGTTTTAACATTGTTAGAATGCAGATGTACCTGGACACATGATTTAGGGTTTTTCTGGTTGTGTCACTTTGCAGGATATAAATGTCAAAAAGTGGGATTTACACAATTTCTACATGATGAACATTGCTCAGATGAAAATAACCCATTTAGGACAATTTTAGTAATCTATGGGGCAATGTTGTATCGAACCTATTTAAAAGCAGGGTTGGGATATCTAGCACACAGGAGGATAATTTCTATACAAACCAGGTTAATTTGATCAGTGTTTTGGAATAAGGGTACAAATTACCAGGTTAAAAGGAAGTAATTATAACTGTTATTTTAGGGTTAGAAATACTTATTTGAAATATTTTCTGCAATGAACAAGTGGATTAAAAATGAAGCACACAATTACAAAAATTATCAGCAAAATTTTGAAAAAATTACTTTAAAAGTCATATGCAATATTTTAAATTATTAATAAAAATATGAAACGTATCACATTTTGGATAAAAACCCTAAAATCACCCAAAAATAAAGAAATGACCTGGACCTGACATTATGTAAAGCTGCTTAACCAATCAGCATGAGTTGGAACATAAACCAGAGGTGATGAAAGTTTAAACTGTTACCAATTTTAAAACTCCTAATGAGCAGATCAGCAGTTTGATCATCAATCTGTGCCACTTTAATATGAATGTATCTTGGGGAGTATAAGAATCTCTAAATATCAACTGATGAAACAAAAAATAATCATCTAATGACTCATTAATGCTTTTTTAAAACCTGTTTCAGTGATTCATCATTTTTAATGAAAGACCCTGACTGGCTGCTTCCATCTTATTAGCTGTTTTACACAATTACTAAGTCATTAAAGAATATTTAGTTATGATTTAGTTCTTATGGCCTCTATTGTTGTTGTTTTTAAATAAATGAAACATACGTTATTGTTTATATAATTTACTTAATTTAGACGCAAATGATGTCTTTTTGTCGTGACATCTTGAGAGAAGTAAATGAGACTTTGTGGTTTGTGGCACCACAGGAGGATGCTTTATGGTCCCTCCTGTGGACCAACCTCTGATGTCCCGCGTGCTGATTCTCGTTGCTGCCACGCGCTGATTCTTTTTACGCACCCCGTGGAGGAGATTCGCTCTCGGACTGGAGACTGTATCTCTCCCCCTCTGAAATGAGTGACCATAGTTCACATTGCTGCGTATAAAACGGCAGAAGTCGTCATTAGAAGCCCCCCTGTACCGGGTTTGGTTTGTGTGCACCTGCCTGCGGGCGGAGGGAGAACGGGACCACAGCACTGCGCTGCGCTGCGCATCGTCGGGAGGGTTTTAGGAGAACGGGGATGGAGGAAGAACACTTCAGCTTGTAGAGTTCAGACGGGAGGGGAGTTCGGGACCGTTTCTATCCACACTTTCGAGAGACCGAACTTCACTGTTGCTCCGGACTCGACGCTTCCAGGTCTAGCTGGGCTCCTAAAGGCTTGAGGAGATGCGAAATGTTCTGTACCATGGATATACCCAAAGAGATAGACACCATCAAACACCGCTGGAGATGCACTCAGGTGAATATGCCTGCTCTGTTGGTATTTTTATCACGTTTATCTTCCAGACAACTTGCACCTCAATTCCACATTGTTTCAACATCAACCATCTTAATAACTACTGTTATAATAAACAATACGCATGTAAGGTCTTTCAATTCATCAGCATCGTGTAACAGGTTCTTCAGGTCCCTGCTGAGCTGTGCCACAATTTCTCATTAGAAATAATTTCAGCGTGGTCTTAATTGCTGTGGCCATCATTTAAACCGTGCAGCTTATCGTGAGAGGGCACAAACCCACCTAAGACTTCCTCATTTAAAACCTCAGGCAGAACTCATTGTTGTGTGTGAGCCACTGGGGAGACTCGATTCACTCCAGCCTCATCATCTCCTCTTTTCTTTGATTGCACCCAGCTTGACTGGCTCAGATTGTCCAACGTCTGTTTGATTCTCTGGAAGTGGCTATCCTTATGAAATCCAACTTGTCTGAAACAGAGGATAAGAATCATGCAAGTGAGAGTGCTAAAACCAGCTAATATTTACATTTTTTGTTTTACTGCTGCCCTTTATTTATTTATTTTGCTGGCTTTCACATAACAAGCTGCATAATTCTTAAAAATAATAATAATAATAAATAAAAAAACTGCTGCAAAAAGTGAAATTGCCTCAGCTATAGCCTATACTCACAAGAGCAGTTTTAGCATTTGTATTAGAGTAGTGGAGCTACAGAACGGATCTTTCGGGAAGTCTTTTGGTGGATGGACATGTTTTAGATGATGCCACTTGCTCATAAAGAAGTGGAGGGTGAACTTGGAGTTCATAGCACCCCTGATCTGCATGAGGAGAGGAATAACGGTGCATTGAATGGCTGAAGCAGAACAAGTGTAATGCATTAGATGGTGAGGAAAAAAGATGTTATGGCAGCATTGGTGTTAGAGTGATCCATCTAGAAGAGAAGCACTGATTCTGGTTTAAGAGGTCAGTTACTTTCATCAAACTAAATATAACAGGCTATTATTAAAATGCATAGCTCTGTGTGGGATGAGAAACATATTAACCGTTTACATTTGGACATGTCTAAAACACAATTAAACCATAGAAACAAATAAAAATATAGCAAATTTTCTACTTGTTCAATAAGTAACAAAACATGAACAGTGCTGCTATAAAAGGAGAGCTGCTGTGGGAGCATAAATGGCCAAATGTTTTTCCGGAGTGTTGGAGAACCGAATGATGAAATGTTACAGGATTTTACGGTGCAGAGTGGGGGGTCATGGTTTAAAATAATGACGAGGCATGTGGCACCACTGTGTTTTTCCCTCAATCTGCCATTTCAACTAAAAACTATAATAAAAAGTGAAATACAAACCAGAAAAGGAAATTAATTAATTAATTTATTTTTTATTTTACTTATTTTTTTCAGGAGGATAAACTACTTGAGATGTAACATCTCATTTTCGAGCAGGTCCTCCTTCAACATAACCAATAAAGAATATGACGGCAGAGTTAATTATTCACAGTAGACTTAAAATAAACTGATATAACAATAACAAATAAATTCAGAAATAAAAGAAAATAAATAAAAGATATACATAAAAAATTTTACTGCTGCGAGTCACTCCAAGCAAAAAAGGGTATTGAACTAACATCATATAGGAATGCGAAATAAACTTACATCCAAACTAATTGAGAATAATTGTCAATAAAAAGCAGTAATGCAGCAAACAAATACACAGATTGATCATTACACAGTTGGAGCAAAGCAGTCACAGATCAGCTTCATAAACATAAACAGTGCAACTAAATTGACGAAGTGATGAGATGGACCTTAATTCAGTAGGTAACTTATTCCAGTCCTGAGGAGCTTTAACGCTAAAGGCGAATCCCCCCACCTCCTTTTTAAACCAAGGAACAACAAATGATGGATGATCGGTTAGACGAGTGGAATACAAGGAATCAATGGGAACCAACAAAACTTTCAGATGAGATGGAAAATCAAATTAGATACATTTAAAAATAAATTTCAACCAATGAAAATTAACATCTAGCTTTTAAGGGCAACCAAGCAAGAAGCTCATACATATAACAGTGATGAGTATTGAAAGGACACTGTAAAACTAAAATGGTGTACACACTTTATTCTTTCTACTCTTTCAGAATGGAAACATTTCTTTTGATTTCCACCTGAATTGGGATCCTTAATGTCTAAATAGTCAAATTAAATGTTAAGATTTCTTCCTGAAGGAGAAAAATCAGTACTTCTCTTTGTCCATACTGCCCACCAAGTTCCACCACAGTCAGCCTGTTAGTGTTTGTGTCATCTTTCCCGCAGATGAGCAAAACACAAATGGCATTGAAGACATGTCGTGGAGAAAATTACCACCACAAAACGCAAATCTCTCACTGTTGAGTTAGAGTTTCCATGGAGATCTCTGAAGATGAAAGAAGGTCATAACATGTTGGTAGAAAAATTCTGTCCAAAGCAAAGTCAAAATGTTTCAACTGAAACCGAAGTTTCACTTTATTACAAATGCCCCTTTGTTTTCCTGTGTGGCATTTATTTGTATGAACTAAACAAGGAAGAATCTAAGTACTCCACTCAACCCATTCTCTATAGAAAACTAGAATGTGGTCTAACACCACCTGACTTTAGACAGAGGCTGTTTTGGCTACTTTTTAACCTAATTTAATAATGCACGCTCTCAGCCTGTCTCAGTTTAAACTTCTAAATGTTGCCCTCTTGAGCAGGTCTAGACTGCATGTTGACAGTTGGAGGTTGTGCAGCAGTGTGCTTACGTGCACTTTTTCTTTTTTCTCAGACTCAGATGATTTAAAACACACAGCAGGGGTTCAAGCATCACTAATTGCTCTTGATGTAGCTTTAGTGGGTGATCATTAGTCATATCAGCTTGACTCTGAGCTTACAAACTAAATTAGTGAAACAATTCACTGTGTTCATGTTTTATTATAATTGTGTATTTGAAGAAACAACTATCAGACTCTTGGGTTATGTTAGACTGGTTTAAAGTCCAGGTGCCTCATGAGAGTGATTCATAGCCGTGACATTGTCTTTCATCCAGAAAAATAACCCTACATTTCTATTTTTCTTCAGAGCACTTCAGCATATAACTTGATTGTATAAATGAGTGTGCTGGTTGACATTTAATCGGACAATTAACTGAGCTTTAGCAGATTTTCAGAGCCTTTTGAACTTTTTTTGACATATTCATCTTGGAGCAAACACGTGAGCTGGAGGAACCTCTCGATGCAGTTCAGTTGGTCTTTTCACAGGGGAGATTGGGATGAGCGCTTTGGTGGAGGCCCTTGGTGTGGGCTGGAGAAATGAAGGAGCTGGCATGTGTTATGTCATGCCTGGGGCTTGTGTGCTTAGATCAAAACACTATTAGTCTCTTTGTCTTGTGCCACCACTTGAGTTAGACTCTTGGCTGTGAAATTTGTTGGCACTGCCTCGACTACCCTGGTGTTCCATTTGTGGAGAAGGGGGAGGAAAAATGCCTGCAAAATAAACCTTCGGCTTAACAAAGTTTTGAGTTAGTGAATTATGTGCACATAGATACTTGGAAGAAATATTGAGAGTAAGGAACTCGAAGCTATTATCATGAAACCACAGAGGAGTTCAATATTTTTAAAATAAGCACCAGTGTCAGTTGGTAATTAGACAAACTGCAGCATGCTTTGCTTCCTGATTTAAGTATACTAAGCGTAAAGGCGTACTTTGTAACCTTTTCATATTTTAAAATCATTTTCAATCTTGAGCCAGTATGTGCTAAAACGACCCTTTACAGGGTTAATGAAATGTCACTACCACCACCGCCATCCGTGGCCAGAATGCTGCATTTGCAACTTCAAAGTGCCGGTCCGGACTGTTGGACTTGGAGTTGACATACCTGGTGCTGCAGTCTGCTTCCAGCATGTTTTCCGCATGTTTTAGATCATGAACACAGCTGTTTTGTTTAATTTAGTGAAGAATCACTGCTGTCGACACTAATGAAGGCTGGGGAGACATTTCAGCTGTTAGATCAAGTTGTTTAAAAGATGGACGCAGAGTGAGGAGATATGTTTCACTTTTGGTTATATTAATTGGACACTAGGGAGTGCTACAAGCAAGGCAAAACTGCCTAGTCTTTCTTTAAATTGTCGAGATGTTCAGAGGTTTTTGTGAATTGTTTTGTTGTTTTCTTAAGTTTTAGATTTTTTCAGTGTTTTTCTCTTTTACCTTCTTCATGGTTACTTCTGTCCTGCCATTTGTGTATATTATTCATCAGATTTTATTAATCTACCTTTCATTTATTCTGTCCATCTTTTGTTCCAACAATACCACCTGCTGACATAAATTGGTAATTATGCCCCCCCCCACATCCCCCCCCCCCCCCCCCCCCCGAAAATGTGATCTCAGTTGTATGTTTTATATAAAAACACATTTTTATGACAAAGATCACTGGCGATAAAATTATTTTATATACTGTACTACACTCGTGGATAGAGTACTGGTCAAAATGACAATTACCCATCTGGTGTTTTTGGTGCCTGATGCTCTTATTTCAACAGGTTCACCACAACATTTCCAGTTGTGGCTACAAAAGACATGTATTGATTCCCAACTCAATAAGTAATCACGTTTAGCAATCTGGATTTCAATATAATTTACTTTTAGATCATGATCAAGCAGTTCTAACTGAAAAATGTAAGAATCCATTTTTCTGAACAGAGGCCTTTCAGAAAACTGTCCAGAACAAGTAAAATAGTAAATAATTAAAACATTTACACAGAAACACACCTTACATTTGCCAAAAAGTAAAGATTGCTTCAACGTTATATGTGCGTTAAATCAAAACATAGAAGATCAGGAAGAAATATCCCGTTTCATTCTACTAGCCTCAAACATCAAATAAATTTTGAATAACCGGAGACACTTGAATCTGTGAGATGAGCCACACGTGCAGCAAAACACTGATCCAGCTCGTGTCTGCAGATCAAGGGAAGTCACAGCACAGGTGATTA